AAAAAAAAAAAAAAACTATCAAAACTAAATTAAATCCATATACAATTATACCTTTAGTAACACTTTCATTAAACTCACAAATATTTGTTTGCACTAAAAGTAGATTGAAATGCTTTATATGTTCGGTTAAGTTTGTCAAAATGAATATAGACATTTTATTTATAACATTAAACACACATTATTTGTGATCAAAAAAATTTCATCTATATATATATATACATATATATATATAATGTGGAGCAATAAAGCATTCAATTATATTACCTAGCATTTAATTGTATTATCCCTCCAAAATTTAAGCATTTAATTTTATTATCCTTCCAAAATTTTCAGCATTTAATCATATATCCTATTATATTGAAAGAGTTATCTTCTATTTTTTAATTAAATTACAACCTCAAATCATGCACTTTATTTGAATTATTGGACATAATACGTGTAAGCATTGATATATAATCATTTTAGTTGCAAATAATAAAAAATATAAATTAAATTACAAATTACATATTTAAATTGAAATAAATATCAATCTCTATCCTGTTGTTGCTATTGTATCTGCAAAATAACATTAAATAAATTAACAAAGGAAATATTAGCTATTATTATTAAATGTCATACTATCACTTTAGATAACGATTATTATAAAATGTGACATCATTAAACAAAAGCAACAAAAAAAATGAAAAAAACAATTACCCTAATTTGTAATATACATCACACTATCATAACATCATGCTATAATCATACAATTAATTTTATATACATGTGGGCAGAGAAATCATGTCATTACATATATTTAATTTATTTTATTTTTTCGAATGTCTTAAATAATGAATAAAAAACGTGTGAATTAATTCTTCATAATCTAATTCACTTTATTCCTAAAGCTGAAATATAATTTCCTTTTGTTTTTAAATTTTTTTGCAAAAACACATAATACTCTTAAAAATTCAAAATCTGCTATCAAACATCTCTGAATGTTGTATTCAAAATCTGCTACCAAATCATAATCATGGTGTCCTACGCTATGACGATCAACACGAGTCAAGACCAGTCTCTCACACATGTCAGTTTAAGCTTGAAGAACCCTGTTTTCAGTCATGACAGTTGTACGTGGCTCTTTCTAGAGTCACAAATCGGAAGAGTTTGAAGATAATGATATGTGATGATGGTGATTTTCGACGATAGAAAAACTTTGAATGTTGTATACAAAAAAATGTTTAATAATATTTAGAATTATTTTCTTAATTCAACTTTTTTATTAAATTATGATTTTGTATTTCTTTTTATATTCGTAACTCTTCTAATTATTCTCCTCCGTGCAAATGCACTGGTTGATTACTAGGACTAATGCAATGTTCTCTTACATTGATTTCGTTTAGGTATCCTTGGTCTAGAGTGGTCAAAATTTGTGTGTAGCGTGTATTTGAACGGCAAACTTTTGAACACATTTGTTACTTGAATATTTGTATTTGGCGTGAAATGATCTAAGACGTGGGTGTTAGCATAATTCTAGTTTTATTAAGACATTTTTATATGGTTTATTTGTGTTTTATCAATTAACTCCTATAATATGGCTATAATGACATATTTTTCATTCTAACATAACATGTATATAATTAAACATGGTACGTAACCCATAAATGGTACATAAATCAAGAAACGTAGATTACGCCTCCATATCCTTCATAACCATACAGAAGACCATGCCTAATACATAACACCTTGCATACTACATAATACAAACACAACTGCTTACGCCTTAAAGATGCTACGCGTAGGCCATAAAAACAGATGCGGTGGAACAATTACAGACCATGCAAAAGAAACATGCAGTAACA